TCAGACATCTTTCCTTTAGCTTAAGAATTCTCTGGATTTTAACAAGTCTAACCAGCCATGATGTTATCAAACATTGAGAAACACAGAACTGAGTGGTGTTTTCTGGGAACAGAAGATCTGAGGAAAGCTCAGCATGGTCCTGGAAGAACATAACTGGGAGAAGATGTCCTATGGTTCCCAGACCTGCTAGGGTCTCTGCACCAGCAGTACAGGAGGGCTATTTGGAGAGAGAAAAATGAAGTTCCATTTCTATCTTTCACCTTTCCCTGGTATCCCAGGCAGTGAACTGTTTGAGACAGATGGGGAAATTTATCCAAACAGCATAGCTGTTTTTTTATGGGAAGGTTCAGTCCATGGGATTACACAGTTCTGGGGAAACCTTGTTTTGTCTTTATAAAAATATACTCTCATGTGGCAAAGAAACAGAAATAGTGATAGTGGGAAACATGACCTTAAGACTCAACGTCTTCTAAAAATGGTGTTAATTAACTCTTTCATCTGCTGGAGGGTTCTGGAGGGCCACAAAGATGCTCAGAGGGTTGGAGCACCTCTGCTGTGGAGACAGGCTGAGGGAGCTGAGTTTGCTCAACCTGGAAAAGAGAAGACTCCAAGGAGACCTTAGAGCACTTTCCAGTGTCTAAAGGGGCTACAAGAGAGTTGGAGAGGGACATTTGACAAGGACTTGTAGCAATAAGTCAAGGGGAAGGGTGGCTTCAAATTGTCTGACAGGGGAGGTTTAGATTAGAATTTAGGAAGAAATTGTTCTGATGCTGGTGAGACACTGGTACAGTTGTTTAAAGTAGCCAAGAATCTGATGGATGCATAACTAATTTTGTGGTAGCACCACAGCAGATCTAATCCCTATCCCCAGATCACCCAGAACTGCCCCTTGTCATGACTTTGGTCAACTACATCAAACTGGGCAACTTTTATATATATATATATATATATGTGCGTGTGTGTATATATATATATGTATGTATGTATGTGTGGGTGTGTGTGTATAAATATATATGTATGTGTGTGTCTTTATATATATATATATAAAATATAAATAAATACATATGTATATGTATATGTATATGTATAGATATAGATATAGATATAGATATAGATATAGATATAGATATAGATGTGTACATATGTGTAATATATCTACATTTATATCATATATAGATATTATATATTAGCTGGATCTGAGCCAAAGGATTTAATTCCCTATTTCTTCACCTTTGAACTGGCCTTTTTCTTTACTGATGTCAGCTTTGACATGGCAAAGGCCTAGAATAAGGCGTAGAAAAAATGAACAAAATGGAAAATTAAACAAAAGTTTCCAGCTTAATAAATTCCCTACTCAGAGCTACAAAAACTGAACAGTGTAAAGACCCTACTGAATGGATCCTTACAAGAGATCCTTACAAGTTCATGTCTGGAGATATCACCGTGACGTTTACATGGAAAATCACAACCCAGACTAGGGGGTTTTCCCATGTTTTTCCCCAAAAAGCATTTGGCTCAGCCGAGTCCTGAGCACACATTTCCTCTCTCTGGCTCCCTGGGGCTGCTCCTTGGCAGAGCTCTTGAAGTCTGATGGTGATTCCCGAAAAGCAGCTCCTGAGACAGGGGCAGAGTGAGCACATATCCTGGATAAGCCATACTCGGAAATGCGGAGGGTGGAGAGGAACAACGATGACATCTTCCTGATGCCACCAGTACCTCCTGCCTCGAGCCTCAGCCCCTCTGGCCAGAGCTGTGTTTGCTGGGCAGGGAGGTCACCCAGCAAATCTTCATGCAGTGATGTTCCTGGAGAAAGCAGCTGAGCAGAACCAAAACAAACTAAACCCTTTTCACCAGTTTTTCATCACAAAGAGATGCTAAATACAGATCTCAGCACCAGGCTTGCTTGGAGGTTGTGGTCTGAGCAAATCCTGATCATCAGTATGGGGCAAGTGGGGTATTTCAGTGCTACTAAAAGCAAACAACAGGAAGCCTGATCATACTTCCTTAACCTAAACTTTTTTATCTTAAGATACATATCTTAAGACCTGCACAGGCAAGTAATGTACCAAGGGGTACAAGATGCTGAATATGAGAAGCTATAGCAAGCCACAGGATATGTCCTCTGTGATTCATAGACCCTTGAAGTCCCTTTTGCCTCTTCCAGTGTCATGGCACCATGACATGAGGCACGTGACACCCTGAGACAAGCTCAGTTGGTTTGAGCCTGTTATTAAAAACACCAAGGTTGTGCATTCAATCCTTGTATGAGCAATTCACCTTAGAGCTGGACTTGATGATCCTTGTGAGTTCCTTCCAACTCAGAATATTCTGTGAATCTGTGACTTCTGATCCCCTTTCCAGTACCACCATCATGACTAAAGCCACCACTGGGCTGCTACAGCTAATAGCCAAGAAATTCTGACTCAAGGCTGCTCATTCACAGCCCGAGGCACTGCCTATTCTCCAGTGATGGCGTTCAGACTCTCTGTGCCCCACACTGTGGATTAATATCTGGTTTCATTTGTTTTGTTTTGTTTTTCCTTTATTCTACTTCGAGGGTTACACCACACAACTTGTAGGCCCCGGTCTCCTGCCTGCTGGCATTGCTCAAGCGTTGGTGCTGCCTGGTCCTACCTGCACCCTGGGGTGCTGGAGCTGGCCTTGGCACTAAATGCCTGGAAAACTGAATGAAGGCAGTGCTCAGGAATATAACTCACGTCTGCAAATACAGCCCTGCAGAGGTCAGGGCTGGAAACAAGGTTGTGCTGAAAGGGCAACTCCAGTGTGATCCCCAAGAAAGCAAAGGAACGACAAGGAATTTTAGCTAGGGGGGATGCAAAGCAGCAGGGAGGGGGACTGTGTGTGTGTGCAAAGCCGGCTCGACACCTCCCCCCGCCTTTTCCCTTGTTAAGGGGGGTCTGCCAGCTCAGGAGTGGCACAGTCTAGCGCAAGTCCTGCCTCCTCCCTCCTTCCTCCTCCTCCTTCTCCTCCTCCTCCCAGATGTTCCCTTGTGTGCAGCCATCTGTTGAGCTCCCTCCTCCTGCGGGGAAGGGGGCAGCCAGCTTGCCCGGCCAGCTGCACGCCTCGGACGGGAAGGAGGAGGGAGAAGGAGGAGAGAAGAAGGGGACAGCCGTCCCCAAGCCCTGCTGCTGCCGGCTCCCGGCGGCGCCCGCTCCCGCCGTGGGAACCGGCGCTGCGCGGCCGCCCCGCCGTGGGAACCGGCCCGGTGCTGGGGACCGACCGCGGTCCCGGTGAGTCCCTCCCTCTGCCCTCACCCCCTCCCTGACCCCCGCATCCCCTCCCTGACCCCCATCCCTTCCTCGCGCCCTCCATCCCCTCCTTGGCCCCTGCATGCCCTCTCTGCACCTCCCTCCAAACTTCCTCGGGAGTGCAGAAGCGTGGGGCTCATTTCTGGGGAGGGGGGAAGCTGTACCGCGATGGGCCGAGCCCTCCCTGCCGCCTCCCCGGGGATGCGCAGGGCCAGCCCCGGGTGTGCCTGCTGCGGAGCCCTCCCCAGCCCCAGAGCGCGGAAACTTTTTTTTGTGTGATGACATTTTCCTCGCCAGGGGCTTCAGCGGCCGGGGGTGCAGGGTAGGGGGAAGGACAGAGGTCTGGGGTGGAGGTAAACTACTTTTTTTCCCCATCTCTGGTTTTTCCAGAGGGGGGACTTTGAGATGAGGGGAGTGCGTACGAGCCCCCAGCCCGGCTCCCCTCCCGGAATGAAGCGTCTCCACCTGGAGAAGAGAAGGGATCTTCTCTTCTCCTTCCCCCAGTGGAATGGTGGTTTGTAGAGGTCTCGGGATTGCCACGGCTGCAGAGTAATCCGAGCAGCAGCTGGAGGCTCCGCACCGCCTCCCGTGCCCGGCTTCGGGGCTTTGATTTCACACAGGGCTCCCTGTCTCCCCTCCTCTCCCTCCTCCTCCTCCTCTCCGGGCCCTCCCCTCAACTCTCCGAAGCGAAGAGAAGCTTTTTGGTGGGTTTCTGGTGCTGGGAGGCTCGCAGGGTTTTGCAGCTTACTCAAGGTAAGCAGAGAAAGGAGAAAGAAAGGAAAGCTTAGAGGGGTCGACTGGATGGGGTTAAGAAGCTGAAAGGTGCGGGGGGGGGGGGGGGGGCGTCCTTTCCCCCCCGGTTTGCATTGATAAAGGCATGGCAAAGGCGTTCCTGCCTGGGAAGTTCCCATCTGTAAGTGGATTAAGCTGAGGGGAAGGTGTGTTTGGGAAGGGGGGAGAGGAAGACGAGCAAGATTTATTCATTCTCTCATTGAAAAAAAAGAAAAGAAAGAAAAAAAAAAAGAAGAATGAAAGAAGCTGCTGGGTGTGACTTCTGAAGCAGGAGGTCAAAGCCCGGGGTTCCCCTGATATTGCACACACCCTGTAAACTTTTAAGCAGCTCCCAGGAAACTTGTTATTAATGCTGCAGTCATTAAAAGGCGCAGCCCACGGCAGATTTATTAGCTCAGTAAACCACAACACGTGCCAAGCTCTCTGGAAACAAAAGGGTCTGTCAACTTCACTCCTCCTGCTTGGGATTTGGGAGGGCTGGGAGGGGCGCGGTGGGGATGGAGCCGGTGGCTTTTGTCGCGGGGAAGTGGCATCGCCTCCGCTAGCCAGCACGGCTCGTGAATGCAGTTCCGTGGCAGCGGAGGCACTGGAGCACGGCTGTAAGGAGCGCACAGCGAACCCTGCTGAGCTCACGGCGCTCGCCGCGGCAGCGGGACGAGCAGCCCCCTGTCTCCCGAATGGAAAGCTTTCCCCGTGTGCCTGCCATGATAAATCAGCTGCCGTTCTCCTGAATAACAGCATTCACTGAAGTTACAGTAGGAAACTTGTCTGGGTGGACACTGTGCCATTGCTCTGCGGAGAGCGGCCGGTGCCGATCGCTGGCGTTGCGCTGAAATATCGCATTGATTGCCGCTCCGGAGCTCGGCTGGCAGCGCCGGGCTATTGCAGCCGGGAGGAGCAGGGCGAACACCGGGGGAAGAGGCGCCGGGGAAAAAGGCAGGGTTGGACCGTCTCGCCGATCTCTCCGGGAATAAGAAGCACGCTGGATGTGTTAGATGCTGGAAGCACCGGAGGAAGCCGGCACGTCCCTGGGAGGATTTGCAGGCTAAACTTGGCCGGGGGCTCGCTGTCGGCAGCCAGGCGCTCGCAGGCAAAGCGGGTCAGTGTGTGCCATCGCCCTGGCGCGGGGCACGGCTCTCGTCCCATCGTGACCCGAGGAGTCAGTCCCAGCCCCTGGCCTGGAGAGGACGTGGGAGGTGCCTGCTCCCGCGGGGGTTATAAATGGGCCGAGGAGGAGCTGCCGCTTGGCTCCTCCGGTGGCGGTGGGTGAGCGCTGGTTGACACCGGGGCAGGCAGGAGGGTGGGTGGCAGCGCTCAGACGGATTTTCCCTTGCGGCATCCTGGGGCAGGGCAGACGCTGCTGGTTTGTGAATGAATTTGAGCAGCTGCTGTCAGAGGCAGTGGGGAGCAATAACAAAATGCCTGGAGGGAACGAGGACGTGACAGACATCCCAGGGGACATTAATTTCCGATGACAAGCTGGACTGGCAGGAAAGGCTGCAGGGTTGGAGTGAGGGTCTCCTGCACCCCTATTCTTTACAACTAAGAATTTGCAACTAAGTGCAAGGAATAAACCAGCATTGAATGGATGAGAAGAAATTGGGAGAAAAGGGAAAAAAAAACATGCAGAAGTTTTTAGGGATTTTTGTGGATTTTTATATTTTTTTTTTAACAGAGGGAAAAGCATCCTGTGCTCCCCCAGCCACACAGTGAGAAGCAGTGTGTGTCACCCCTGTGCAAGACCGAGCTGGGAATAAAAGGTGAGCCACCGTCTTCCGGAGGTTTAGAGTTTTCCCTCCATCCCTAACTGCTTTTCTTTTATCCTCTTTCAGTCTCTCCTCCTTCCTCCTCCTCCTCCTCCTTCTCCTTTTCTGTTAGCTGGTTGGTGGGGAGAAGCAGAGTCTGGAGGGTGGGATGAGACAAGGCATCCTTGTCCGGCAGCCCTCCTGACCCCTGCACCCCCAGGCTCTGCACGGTAGCCACGGCGCTGGCTGCCTTGGCAGGCTATCAAAAGAAACTTCTGAACACGGAGATGTTGAGGGCTGGGAAGAGATAAAGGCTGGCTTAAGCAAGCTGTTTCTTGTCTTAAAACTTGGCACCTGGACTTATCGAGGCAAATGTATGAATGGCTCAGCCATTCATTACAAGGAAATCTTGGGATTTTAATTTTTATTTCAATTTTTATATTTTTTTTATATATTTTTTAAATTTCCTGGGAGTTTCTATTGTACTCATGGTGTGCAGCAGGGGGGAAGGAAATATGTGCTCTGGGAATCTCCCCAGCCTTCCCGTCTGTTTGCAGACACTGCAAGAGATTAAACCATCCTGGCTGCCTTAGCATGGGACATTCCTGAGTTGCATTAACCAGGCTGGAAATCTCCTGTCAGAGCAGCAGCAAACTGGAAAAAAGCACTTTATCTTCACCATAGCAGAGAGAGAGCCATGTGCTGTGGGTAATGTCTGAGTGCCAGCATCTGTGGGGTTCCTTTTCCTTCCCCTTTCTCCCTTCCTGATTCTTTTTTTTTTGCAGTCTGTCTGAAAAAAAGTCTCTTCTCCTTTCCCCTGAATCTTGCCAGCAGCTCAGACCCAGGGGTGGGGAGAGAAATTACAGAATGGTTTGGGTTGGACCTTAAAGATCATCCAGTTTCAACACCCTGGCTGTGGGCCGGGCCACTTTCCACTAGACCAGCTTATTCAAAGCCCTGTCCAACCAGGCCCTGAGTACTTTCAGGGATGGGGACTACATTTTCAAGGAAGTTTGTTTTTTTTTTTTATTCAAATAAGATAATCCTCCTCAGGAAAAATTGAGATTCAAACTCCTATTGTGACTGATGGGTCAAACCGATGTGATTCCTCACATCTGAGGTGACACATGTGCATGGGGCTTGTGTCACCTGTCTCCAGGTGGGGCAGGACATGTCCCTGACTCCAAAAGTGCCCGTTTTCCTCCCATCCTTGAGAACGATATGTCTGTAGCAGTTGGCATGGTGAGGGCAAACTTCACAGAGTAGGATGGGGGAGATCCTTTCTCCAAAGCACTTTAATCTTACTGCAAAAGCTCAGTTTGTATCTGTCCAGGACCAAAACATTGCAACCTCCTGCAACCGATCTCCAGTTCAAAGAATTATATGATCATAGGGTAACTGAACCTGTCCAGTCTCATCCATCCCCTTCCCTCTCCCCTGGCCTGGCTGCCTATTTTTCGGAGGTAAAAGCAGGGTTGCTGTCCCTAGAGTGTTCAGGAAGGCAGGAGCTCAACATGGTGCCCAAAGGGAGTGGTAACATTTGGCTGGACCTGTTATGACAGTGGCAGTGTTGGCTGAGGACTTCTGTGGGGTGAGAGCCACAGGCCTTGTGCTCCCTTCCCAGTTAAACTGGTGGGAATTAAACCTGGGGATGGTACCACCATCCCCACACAGGAGTGAACACTTCTCAGACCTCCTGCTAGTCATCCTTAAAGTGTTGGGAAGGAAACTGAGGCACTTAAATGGGGACTCATGGCACCGTCAGTGGTGAGACATTGGTCCTGCTGGGGAAATGGCTCTCCTAACCCACTTGAGATGATCTTTCTCCAAAATCCTCCACCAGCCAAGAGGGACTGGAGAATCCTGGGCCAAGGAGGGGACGAAAAGAGCTGAGGAGATACTGCACATCATGGGGGCAATGAAGCATCATCTGCAGTGGGAATCATGGTGGGCATTACACTCAGCCGGTAAACCCTTTATCAGCCCTACCTACACCCCTTCTCCTGCCCAAATCCCCCCTTCCCAAACCTTGTAGGAGACCCACTGGGTCTAGTAAATGTCTCACAAGCTTCACTGGGGTGGGGACAGCTCCTGAAGCCCCAGCTGATGCTCCACCAAACAGTTTCACAGTTTCATTCATTATTTGCAGCATCACGTTGCAAGAATTATTGGAGAGGGGGAGCAAAGAAAGGCCATGAGGAGAATGAGATGGGAGCCTCCAGCTGTGCTGTTTACAACAATAATGGCCAGGATTGTATTTATTATCTCCTCAGTGGAGGGTCTGCAGCTGCATGCTGAGAGCCACAGACGGCAAAGGGGCCCGGAGATTATTGTGCATGGAAAAAAAGACCAGCCACAAAAATAAATAAAAAGCCCACAGAGAATCCCTGGGCCAGCTGGAGCAGTGCCAAGGGGCACCCAGCTTAACCCCTCGTTTTGCCCTTCCTCACTGAAGTCAGCAGCCCTGCAGGGCTGTTAGGAGAAGGGAGATTGGCAGCTGCTGCCTTTCAGAGAGCTAAAGCTGCATAGGGTCCTCTTAAAATCCTTCTGCCAGGGCTGAAGGTGTTGCCCAGACAGGTTGAATTTCTTTTCCCTATGCTTTCTCATGATTTTTTCCAGTGCTGGCTGCACCATGACAAAGGCATGCTGTTGGAGGCAGTACTTGGACCTGATCTGAGCCACCTCTGTTGTAATGGATTTGATTCTCTTAGAGGTCTTTTCCAACCTTAATGATTCTATGATTCAAGGAGAAAGAGCTGTAAAGCCATTAGAAATACAGGATGATGAGGCTGTGATGAGTTGTTTGCTCTTGGTGTGTTGTGTCTCACCAGGGAGAGCAGAGGCATCAGGCTGGGATGTATCACCTTCTCCTTCCTCCTCTCTCTTGTTTCCTCCCCCCTGCCTAGCTCATCTTCTCTGGGGGAACCCACCCATGTCTACCCACGCAGCATGGTCTCTGCAGCTCTGGCAGGTCCTCTGGGGTGATTGGATGCAATCCAGATCAGGCATGTGGGGTACACATCCATAGGCATTGTGCCTTTCCCTCATTAACCACACAGCTGCTGGTGGGTCCTTGCAAACCTGCTCTTCCCTGGCATGGAACATGGTACATGCCATCCCAGGGATGCCATTCCCAGCTGGGCACAGTGACATGGCTGATCAGCCCTTCTAACAGCTAAAATCAGGTATCCATTGTGGGTAGGAGGTTTCCTCTCCCTGTGCTGCACCTCTTAACATTCCTTGCTGGCATATGGTGTTCATCCTGGAGTGCATTCCTCTGGAATTATATCATGTCTCTGGGAGGTGGAGTGTGGAGAAAAAGTATCATCGTAGCAGGAGCAAGCGCAGGAACTGTCTGGGGTTGGCTGTCAGGTGTGCGTCGCCAAGGGCTGAGGCTCCAGGAGAAGCTCGTTAGGATCATTTTCGCTTTCAATAACCGACTAGTTAGGGAAGAAGGAGGGTTTAATCCTCTCAAGGTTATTGCTGTGATTTGGATAAAGCCTGGGTACTTGCAGGCTCCCTTTGTGCCTCACAGTTGGTTTTTGGGCACTGGAGGTGATGGGGCAGGTAGCTTCACCAGGTCTTTCCACAGCAAAATGCACTAGGACTGGCACAAAACTGTGTAAACCTCTCCTTTGGCTATGAAGCACCGTTTTGAAGGGCTGGTCTGTTCCCGAGTTTGTGCCAAAATAATGGAGACCTCCCATTCTGGGGCATGTTGCTATGATAAAAATTCTGTTTGGGCCAAGTTTGAGATGGTTAAGAAAATATTTGTGTTCCTGGCAGAGATGAAGTCTCTCTTATACTCAGTGAGTGCCAGGGTAGTGAGGCCTTCTGCTCCTGGAAATGCTCACAGTTAAGCAGAGCAGGGAGGACGAGAAATAGGAGCTGTTAGGGATAAAAGAATTCGGGGTGGTCATGCTGGCAGTGATTCTAGAGCAGGAGAAAATCCTGAGCTCTTACATCCCTTGCAGGCACCTCTTTGAATCCATGCATCCCAGGCTGCTGGGAACCAGTTACAGCTGCCAACGCTCCCAGTTTGAGTGGTTCTGCAGCTGGAATAGCCAGGAGGCAATGCTGGGGCTGGGATACTCGCATCCTGTCTGCTCCCAGAAAACCCTGTGAATCCCTCCTGGTGCTGCACCACTCCAACACCTTCCTTCCCCTGCCCCCAGCCACTCAGGAGGCCTGGCAAACAATTTCCTTTTGGGAATGCCCCCTCTGGGCACAAGCACAGTTTGACTTGAGGCTGGAGAGCAAAATTGCTTTCAAAAGCCACGGGAGACTAATTCCTCCACCTGGAAATAAACTGCTATTAAGCTGACAGCTTTCTGGGCTAAGCAGAGAAGTGGGAATTTTCTGCAAATCCTGATGCCATGGTAATTTAATTCTTAATTTTCCTGTGCTGGATGTGGCACCAACGTTTTCCCGCTAGAGGAAAAATTCCCTGGAGTTGGGCTGCTCTTCCCTCACAAAATGTGTCTTTTCAAGGCACAAAGCTTTTAGTGCAGCAGAAATTGCATTTCAGCAGCGTATGTAAATGAGCTAGAAGTTACTGTATGGGCTGGCAGACCTGCCTGCACATGTTTTCCTTTTGTCAGATCCCAAAGTACACCACCCTGCACCTTGAGTTCCTCCTCCAGGGGGAATGAGGGATGCCTGAGGGTGAAGATTGCGCAAGTGGAATAAACTACTAGCTGTTTTAACACTAGGATGATAAATTATCTGTGGCCTCGTGCAAAGCAGATGGGAATTGTGACATTAACAGTTGTAATGAAGTTTATTTTAATAGGTCTTTCAATTTCTTTATTAAATAAAAGATATTCTTTTTACATAAAAAAAAAATAGAGCAGAGACTTTCAGCCAAGCAAGCATTGCAGTGTCTTTTCCCAAGAAACTAGTCATAGGACAAGAGGAAACAGCTTCAAGTTGCACTAGGGGATATTTATATTGCAAATTAGGAAGAATTTCTTCACTGAAAGGGTTGTCAAGCATTGGAAAAGGCTGCCCAGAGA